ATAGAGGCATATCTTATTTTATTGTGCTTCACAGATATTGTGTGTGTGGTTTTTTGCTTGTGTTACACAAATTGAAAGTTTGTGGCAACCTTGTATCGAGCAAGTCTACTGGCACCATTTTCCCCATAGCATTTGCTCACTTTACGTGTCATGTTTTGTGGGAATTCGCACAATATTTCAAACTTTTCAGTTATTATTACCATCTCTGTTAAGATGTTCTGTGATCAGTGATCCTTGACGTTACTACTGTATTGTTTTGGGGCATCACGAACCACACCCATACAAGACAGTGAACTTGACTGATAAATGTGTGTGTTCTGACTGCTCCATCGACCCACTGTCCCCGGGTCTCTTCTTCTCCTCGGACCTCTGATTCCCTGAGACACAACAATACTGAAATGAGACCAATTAATAACCCTACAGTGGCCTCTAAAGGCTCAAGTGAAAGGAAGAGTCACACATTTCTCCCTTTAAGTCAAAAAACCGGAAATGATTAAGCTTAGTAAGGAAGGCATGTTGAAAGCTGACCGGCCAAAAGCTAGGCCTCTTGCATCAGTTAGCCAAGTTGTGAACACAAAGGAAAAGTTTTTGAAGGAAATTAAACGTGCTACTCCAATGAACACATGAATGATCAGAAAGCAAAACACCCTTCTTAGTAATAGGGAGAAAGTTTGAGTGGTCTGGAGAGATCAAACCAATCACAACATTCCCTTAAACCAAAGCCTAATCCAGAGCAAGGCCCTAACTCTCCTGAATTCCATGAAGGCTGAGAGAGGTAAGGAAGCTGCAGAAGAAAAATTCGAAGGGAGCAGGGATTGGTTCATGAGATTTAAGGAAAGAAGGCACCTTCATAACATAAACAGCAAAGCAGCAGCAAGTTATCCAGAAGATCTAGCTAATTAATGAAGGTGGCTACACCAAACAACAGATTTTCGGTGCAGACCAAAGAGCCTGATAAACACTATCTAGGACTTTCCTAACTAGAGAGAAGTCAGTGCCTGGCTTCGAAAGGAAGGCTGACTCTCTTGTTAGGCCCTAATGCAGTTGGTGACTTGAAGTTACAACCAATGCTAATTTACCATTTTGAAAATCCCAGGGCCCTTAAGAATTATGCTGAATCTTCTCTGCCTGTGCTCTATACATGGAACGACAAGACCCACATGACAACACATCTGTTTACAACATGGTTTTTACTGAATTTTATAAGCCCACTATTGAGACCTACTGCTCAGAAAAAAAAAAAAAGAAGAATCCCTTTCAAAATATTACTGCTCATGGTAATTGACCTGGTCACCCAAGGGCTCTGATGAAGATGTACAAGGTTGTGGTTTTCATCACTGCTGACAAAATATCCTCTCTGCAGTCCCTGCATCAAGGACTGACTTCAACTTTCAGGTCTTATAAGAGATACATCTCGGGCGCCTGGGTGGCTCAGTTGGTTAAGCAACTGCCTTTGGCTCAGGTCATGATCCTGGAGTCCTGGGATCAAGTCCCACATCGGGCTCCCTGCTCAGCGGGGAGTCTGCTTCTCCCTCTGACCCTCCTCCCTCTCATGCCTCTCTCTCTCTCTCATTCTCTCTCTCAAATAAATAAATAAAATCTTAAAAAAAAAAAAAAAGAGATACATCTCGTAAGGCTACAGCTGCCATAGATAGTGATTCCTCCATTGGATCTCAGGAAAGTGAACTAAAAACCTTCCGGGAAGAGTCTCCACTCTAGACGCCATTGACAACATCTGTGAAGAACTGAAAACAGGGACTCTGCTATTTTACATCACTAACAATAGTCAAAATGGTGGAAATAACCCAAATGTCCATTGACGGATGAATGAACAAAATGTGGTATAGACGTACGATGGAATATTATTTGGGCTTGAAAAGGAATGAAATTCTGACACCTGCTACAACATGAACCTTAAAAACATTTTGCTAAGTGAAAGAAGCCAGACAAAAAAGGACAAATATTCAATGATTCCATTTATAGGAGGTGCCTAGAATACCCAAATTCAGAGAGACAGAAAGCAGAAGAGTGGTCACCAGGGGCTGGGGGCAGGACAGAATGAGGGGTTATTGTTTAATGAGTTTCAGTTTGGGATGACAGACAAGTTCTGGAGATGGACAGTGGTGATGATTATACAACAACACGAATATCACTGAGTTGTACTCCCAGAAAGGATTAAAATGGTCCATTTTAGGTTATGTATATTTTGCCACATTAGAAACTAATTCAAAAATAAGGAAATAAAAGGAGATTCACTGACAGGAGAAGCTTTATCCTGTCCTGTGACCTGAGAGAAGTTTCTTCAGTGGAAACTCATTAAGAAACATTTTTGAAAAACAAGGTCTTCATTTTAAAGTAGAATGTGTTAAAGGGCTGATTTTAATATCTGTCAATGTACATAAAGAGCATAAAGTCTAACTGGTTTTAATAGTATTATTAAATACTATTAATTTAGTTAATAATAAGATCAGTTCTATAAGGAATCAAAACAAGTTTAAAATCTCTTGATGATCTGATAGGACATAAAAAATGAATTTAAAGTACTTAGATGATGGCCTGCATCAAATATACTTTAGGCAATTATACATAAGTAGTTATTGAAAACAAACTTTTGATAAATATCATGCAGCAGGACTAGAGGCTGCTCTCTGTGGCTAGTATTTCTCCATACTGGAGAAAGGACTTTTACATAGAATAAAAAATACAACAACTCAATAAACGCAATTCTTTAAATGGAAAAAAACACTTGAATAAACCTTTTTCCGAAGAAGATATATGAATAGCTACAGGGCACATGAAAATTCTCGACATCATTAGCCATCAGGGAAATGCAAATTAAAACCACAAAGAGATACCGTTTCAACCCTTAGAACGGCTATAATGAAAAAGACAGACAATATCACAAGGGTTGGTGACGATGTAGAGAAACCTGATTGACTCAGGGCTTTAGCTACCTTTTCATTTAGAAATTATTATTCAGACTTTGCCAATGAAATTCTTAAATAATCCACTAGTATCTGCACACTCTATTCCTCTGAGGTCTAATTTCACAAAGAAAATTTAACTGAAAAGTCACTCTCTATGGTTTTTTATGTTCTTTTCCTGAATTTCACTTACTATCAGTGGAGTCTCTTTAGATTTTAAGATATATATTCCCCAGATTGTAGGGGATCATACAGTGTTGCTCAGACTGAAAAATGATGTACTCACCTGGAAAACAATTTGGCAATTTCCTAAAAAGTTAAACAAAAATTTACCCTATGAGCCAGCCACTCAGGCACTACCTAAGAACAATGAAAATGTGTCTACAGAAAGACGTGCTCATCAATGTTCAAAGCAGCATTATTTTGAACAGCCAAAAACTGTAAACAACCCCAACGTCCTTCAACTGGTGAATGGGCAAAATATGGTATACCCATAAAATAGGGTATCATTTAACAATAAAAGGCCTGATGCGCTACAACATGAACTTAGAAAATACGTTAATGAAAAACACAAGACCACACATGATCCCATTTGTATAAAATGTCCAGAAAAGGCAACTCTCAAGACAGAGTGTAAACTGATGAGTGATTGCCTGAGACTAGGTGTAGGAATGGGGGTTAACTGGAAACAGGCATGAGGGATCTTAGGTTATAAAATGTTCCAAAAATGGGTTATGATGATTGTGCAACTCAGTGAATATGCCAAAAGTCACTGAATTGTATAATTGAAATGACTTTTATCTGTAATTTATACCCCAATAAACTTGTTAAAAAAAAAACTATGTTCCAGATACCCAACTGGTCCTGGTATATAAATGCTGGAGGCTATAACCAGTAAACATCCTGGAAGAAGCCTCTTCTCAAGAATTTTACGTATTTCTCTATAAATTGTATCTTTAAAAAAAAAAAAACAAATCAGGGTTTATATATGTTTGGAAAAAAACTTAAGACCAGATGAATGATTCTAAGCCATATTCCTTTCATGGCTAGAATGTCTCTGGTTGGTTCATTTAGCAATAACTATGCAGATCAATTTACCACACAGCAATATCTGAACTACAAGCTTTTTTGGGGGGAGGAGGTATAAGGAAGAAACCTTCCAGAGGTAGCACTGCAAACCTACACCCATTAAATCACAGCAAATACTGCTGAGTCTCCCATCAGCATTAAGGATCTCTTCACTTCCGTAAGCCAAAACTGTTCTGTTTTCGTTCTCATGTATATAGGAGCTACCTCAAATTTCAACCTTATGAACTTTTTGGTACCATTGTTCAATCAGTAGGGTGCCTCCAGAACCCTAGGGCTTGAGACCTAAACCTGACTCAGGGTTTTAATGCCTTTTTCAGTCAGAAATTATTCACACTCCACCAATGAATGAGATTCATCGTAAGAAATAATCCACTAATATCTGCTCACTCTTATTTTCAGGTCTAATTTTCACAACAAAAAACACTTAACTGAGAAGTTATTTTGTGGGATTTCTACATTCTTTTCCTGAATTTTACTATCAATGGCGTCTCTTTAGACTTTAGAATATGTATTCTCCAGATGGTAAGGGACCATAGTATCAAGTTCCTATAGTGGGGTAAGTCGGGTCCTGTAGATCAGAGAACCTGGCCAGCAGAAGAGTCGATTCCCTGTGTAAAGGCAGGGGTGCTAGCCCAAACCAGCTGACTTCTCCACTGAAATATGGGCCAGTTGTCAGCCCTATTATATAATTTTTCAAGGCAAGCCTTTTTTTTTTTGGTATGAAATCTAATTTTTAAATGGTGACTACTAGTTATACACACACACACACACACACACACACACACACTCCCCTTACCATGCAGACCAACCAAAACATATCAAATGGCCCAATCTCAGTTTGTGACCTTTGCCATACACAACGTTTGCACTCCGATTACACGGGGCAGTACTTAGGATAAACAAACTTTTAAAAAAATAGAATTCTATTTTGCAAAAGGTAGTCCATCCAGAATAGCTCTATTTTCAGCACCCGCTTCCTTCCCCACCACCCCCCTCCCCAGCCCCCAACCCATTTTCCTAGGACTGGTACTCTCATGGCTGAGATGGTTCCAACATATGCCCTCTAGATTCCTAATCCCCTCAGTCAAAGCCCAGAGGGAAAAACAGGTTGGGGTACTTTGTCCAGTTAAAACATTCCCTGAAGACACACACGTGTGAGCTCCACCGACTCGTTCCTGTTGATATTCTAGGGATTCCGGTGTGAGGCATTCAACAAGTATACTGCATTCTCAGTTCAGGATCTTAAATGAGTGCTTTTCTACTAGAGAAACTTGAAAATTCCAATGAACCAAAAGCGTTTCACTTATTCCCACAGCTTCAGAGAGGATCGGAAGTAAACTTGGAAATCGTGACACCCCCCCCCCTTGTGCCACCAGTAAAGAAAACTCAAATTTAGAAAAGTCAAATGATGTGCCCAAAGTTATAGTGAGCTGGCTGGCAAACTGGGCCAGAACCCAGAACCTAGGTTATGACTTGAGACCAGTTCTTGCTAGAAGCTAGAAGAGGGAAATCTATTGAAGAAAAAAGGTTCGTCAGTGGGTCCCGTGCACCTCCTCTTGCTTTTTAAATCTGCACTTGGCCTTTTAGAACCATTGCCCATCTCATCCTGCTTTCTTCACTTTCCACGGGACTTTACCAACCCTACTTATGATCTACCAAAGGAGAGTGGTAAGTGACAAAGAGTGTTTTTCCCAGCCGCCAACCCTTTAGAGTGGTAGCTACTGATTAATGCTGTGGTAGTTTACACCCTGGGTTTTTAATAAGGGACAATGTGATGAGATTCCACACACACACACCCCCCCAACCCACCTTACTGTATTTCAAGAATTACTCTCCAGAATGAAATCCCCGATGTCTGATGAGGCCTGAGTTACTCTTAAATGTCTTTTCACATTCGTTACATTCATATTCTCTCCTTCCGGTGTGGATTTTTAGGTGTTCTACAAGGATTGAGCTCCGGCTGAAGGTTGCTCCGCAGTAGTTACATTCATAGGGCTTCTCTCCGGTATGAATTCGATGATGCTCGTTAAGAGATGAACTCTGACTGAAAGATTTCCCACATTCTTTACATTTATACGGTTTTACGCCAGTATGAATTCTCTGATGACGACTGAGGAGTGAATGGGTAGGGAAGGCTTTCTCACACTGGTTACACTTGTAGGGTTTTTCTCCTGAATGAAGTCTCTGATGATAAATGACAGACGTAAAATGGCTGAACGTCATCCCGCAGTCATTACACAAATAGGGTTTTTCTCCAGTGTGGATCCTCTGATGTCGAGTAAGGCAAGAATTCTGTCTAAAGGCTTTTCCACATTCACCGCATTTATAGGGCTTCTCTCCAGTATGAATCCTCTGATGTTTGGAAAGGGACGAGCTGTGACTGAAGGATTTTCCGCAGTTGTTACACGTGTAGGGTTTTTCTCCGGTATGAATTCGCTGATGTTGAATAAGAGAGGAACTGTCACTGAAGGGTCTCCCGCATTCTTTACATTTATAGGGTTTTTCTCCAGTGTGAACTCTCTGATGTTTGATGAGGTGGGCACTCAGGGTGAAAGCTTTTCCACAATCATCGCATTTGTAGGGTTTCTCTCCACTGTGAGTTCTGTGATGTGGCGTGAGAGATGAACTGTCACTGAAAGCTTTTCCACATTCATTGCACATGTAGGGTTTCTCCCCTGTGTGAATTCTCCTATGTTTGGTCAGTGAGGCACTGTAGCCAAAGGCTTTTCCACATTTGCTACATTTGTGGGTCTTCTCTCCCGTCTCAGCTCCCTCATCTTTATCTGAGGTTACATCTTGATTTAAATTTTTCCAACATTTTTCACACATAGAGGAGTTTTTTCTCTTAAGGGATGAGCTCCGCGTAAAGGCTATCCCACAATTAGTGCACTTCTGGGTCTTCCCCCCCAAATGCATTTTCTGATGTTTCTGATGTTCAGTTAGGGAGGAAGAGTGACCTAAGACTTTCCTGCCTTCATTACATTTCCATGGCTTCTCTCCAGTGTGTTCTTTGCGGTTCAGAATAAGGTCTGAATGAAAACTGAAGGGTTTCTTGCATTCATTATACCTCCGAGATTTCTTCCTTAAGTAGACTCTCAGATGTTTAATTATTTCCGAGGTTTGCTTGAAATTACTTCCAAAGGGGCTCTTTTCTGGGTCAAATTCCTCACCCTTACTAACTCTCCCATGAGTTTTCTTTTGTGTGCCTGCGACTTGCGAATATTCCTTACTGCTACGTTTCCAGGACTCTCCCATCAAGCCATAATTAGCACCCATTAGGCATCTTTCTATTATTTTATCTAAAGTTGATTCTTCCAGAAGAACATCTTGATTTCGAGAGGATTCCTTCAGTTCACCTCTAGGTTCACCCTCTAAAAGAAATAACAAATACAATGTGTCCCGTTTGCAATACAGGAAGCTGTCCTATTTGGGACTGAGGCAGGAAGAGAGGTAGAAATGACTATAAACAATATGAATATATCTTGGACGATTTTCAGAATCTTAGGAAACAGAGAAGGAAAAAATAATATAGAGACACTAGGTAAATATAGGGGTTAAGAAAAATATTGGGGAAAATGAAAAGTTTGTGCTTTATAGTTAGAATAAAGAGACACGTTCTCACCCTCATTTCAAATTTCCGTAATAGGTCCAAACTCATTTTCTCTAGATCCAATCTATTTTCTTTCCAAATAATAACAGTGCAAACGTTTATTGAATGCTTAGTAAACGCCAGGCCCCATATCAAGCACTTTACTTGTATTTCCCTTAATCTTCACAACAACCCAAAATAAAGTAGGTGCTGATATCATCCCTGTTTTGTGGATGTGACAACTACCCACACAGAGTGTAAGTCGCTTGCCCAAAGTCACGTGTTGTAAGCGACAGATTTTTCATCTATTCTAACACCAAAGCCCATACTTTTGATCCCTACACCAACTGCTTCTCAAAGCAGCCAAACAGCACTGTTTATAAAAAATGTTAATCACATCACAGACATGCAGCATCGCCTACGCTAGACTTTCTAAGGTTACCACAGTCAACCTTATGAAGATACTCTGATCAGGATCCATTCACTGTCCCGACCACACTAGTGTTTTCAATCATATTCTTTCGGTCTTCATCCTACCTCAAATGCAATCCCACCACACCTTCCCAAACACAAACACTTAGGGCCTTGGGTTCAAGTCCCACAGTCCCCACAGCTTTCTCCAATACCATACTCTATTTACACTCCCCTCAGAACTTTGAGCCACATCATTCATCTTGGCTCTTAATCATGAGATCACACCATCACTTTCATAGAACTATTTTTTAAAGAGTTAACTACAAAACACAATATTTTATTCCCCAGAAGTTAACCATTATTAAAAATTCTGTGCATTTTTTTAAAGATTTATTTATTTTAGAGAGTCAGCACAGGGGAGGGGTAGAGGGAGAGGGTGAAAGAACTCCAGCAGCAGATGGTTAAGTGTCTGCCTTCGGCTCAGGTCATGATCCCAGGGTCCTGGGATCGAGTCCCACATCGGGCTCCTGACTCAGCAGGGAGTCTGCTTCTTCCTCTCCCTCTGCCTCTCCCACTGCTCATGCGCTCTCTCTCTCTGTATCTCTGTGTCTCAAATGAATAAATAAAATCTTTAAAAAAAAAAAAAAAAAGAAACTCCAGCAGACTCCACGCTGAGTGTGGAGCCCAATGCGGGGCTCAATCTCACAACCCTGAGATCATGACCTGAGTCGAAACCAAAAGTTGGAGGCTTAATCAACTAAGCCACTCAGGTGCCTCAGTACTGTTGCTTTAAATGTATAGTTCATTGTTGTCCAATGACTTGGAACATTTTTTTCAAGTTTGCAGCAATTTATTTATTTATTTATTTTTAAAGATCTTATTTATTCATTTGACAGAGAGACACACACAGAGAGTGGGAACACAAGCAGGGGGAGTGGAAAAGGGAGAAGCAGGCTTCCTGTGGAGCAGGGAGCCCGATGCGGGGCTCAATCCCAGGACCCCGGGATCATGACCTGAGCCAAAGGCAGACACTTAACCTACTGAGCCACCCAGGCACCCCAAGTTCACGGCAATTTAAAGTTTAGTTTTGTTACTTATTTTTAATTTTGTCAGCTATCTGCTCAAGTTCTTCACCCATTTTTCTAACAGACTCAGCATTCCTTACTGATTTGCTTAAGTATTTTATAAATTATAGTTACCGACTCTGCTTTGTCTATGTTTTTCTCCAGTCTGTTATAAATTAACTTTTGAAACAAGTTGTACATCTACATAATGCTTCTCCGGGAGAGGGGAGCGTATTTATACCATTTGTATTAAACTAATATCCCTTATTTGGGTTCCCAAACTGAAAACAGCCAAATGATTGACTTTGGTTAAGATGGAATAAAGCTAAGTGAAATTACTGTTTTTCCTCTTAAAAAAAAAAAAACAAAACACCAAGGTATTGACATATAAGCAATAACTTATTTTTTAACTGTATATATATTTATTGTTAAATTTTAAGAGGATGAAGAAAAAACGTAATCCCTCAAAGATAACCCAGATTAACATGAATGTTCTCCAGACATTAAAAAAATCTATCTATATCTATATACTTAGACACGGGGCGCCTGGGTGGCTCAGTCATTGAGCGTCTGCCTTCGGCTCAGGTCAGGATCCCGGGGTCCTGGGATCGAGTCCCGCATCGGGCTCCCTGCTCAGCGGGAAGCCTGCTTCTCCCGCTCCCACTCCCCCTGCTTGTGTTCCCTCTCTCGCTGTGCCTCTGTCAAATTAAAAAAAAAAAAAAAAGATTTTATATACTTAGATATATACGCATATATGTACATTTTTTTCCTTTTAACAAAAATGAGATTATACTCTCCATGCTGTCCGCTGGATGAATTCCTACTTATCCTTCAAGATTCAACTTAAGGGCGCCTGGGTGGCTCAGTTGGTTAAGCGACTGCCTTCGGCTCAGGTCATGATCCTGGAGTCCCGGGATCGAGTCCCACATCGGGCTCCCTGCTCAGCAGCGAGTCTGCCTTTCTCTCTGACCCTCCCCCCTCTCATGTGCTCTCTCTCATTCTCTCTCTCTCAAATAAATAAACAAAATCTTTAAAAAAAAAAAAAAGATTCAACTTAAATGTTAAGTAAGCCACAGCTCCTGCGTTCCCCACGGCTCCTTGTGCGGGTGTTAGTACAGCATACATCCCATTACCAACACTGTGTGCTTTGATTGCCGTATCATGGCATCCCCAGAAACGCACTGCTCAGATCGCCAACTCTGCGGTGCCTACTTAGCCCCCGTGGCTGCCCCCTGACTCCACCAAGGCATGCATGCCAAGGCCACTTTCCCACAGGGGCTCCTAGTCAATGGCAAGTACAGCAGGGACACGTGGGCAGGCCCAGAGACACAGGACTCCTGATACGCAACTCCAGCTGGGGAACTCTTCTTTGGCCTTGCCAAAACTTTCTTAAACGGCACCTCAGGCGCCTGGGTGGCTCAGTCATAACCGTCTGCCTTCGGCTCAGGTCGTGATCTCAGGGTCCTGGGATCGAGCCCCATGTCGGGCTCCCTGCTCAGTGGGGAGTCTGCTTCTCCCTCTCCCTCTCCCCCTCGCCCCGACTCATGCTCTCTCTCACTTACTCTCTCGCTCTCAAATAAATCTTTAAAAAATAGAACACTGGGCGGCTGGGTGGCTCAGTTGGTTAAGCGACTGCCTTCGGCTCAGGTCATGATCCTGGAGTCCCGGGATCGAGTCCCGCATCGGGCTCCCTGTTCAGCAGGGAGTCTGCTTCTCCTTCTGACCCTCCCCCCTCTCATGCTCTCTCTCTATCTCATTCTCTCTCTCAAATAAATAAATAAAATCTTAAAAAAAAAAAAATAGAACACTGCACTTCACTCTAAGACACTTCCTACCCAGCCTTCCTTCCTTCCTTCCGTCATTCACAGGTGTTACACCCACCCACTCTGACAGGTCTCCCATTTTCGTTCACTTTCCTCACTCCCCAGTGAGTCCCTGGCATAGCTAACCACGTCTTGGCATCTACTTCTCAGAGGACCTAAGTGAATGGTCTCTCTAGTAAAATGAATATTCCAGGAAGGCAAGGGGTCTATTCTAATCACCTTTCTATTTCAGCATCCAGCCCACCCAACATTTCAAAAGCTCTTCACAAATGACTTGGTTAAGCAACTGTTTTAATTTCTTTGCTTTTCACCAACTTACCTGGTCTGGAGCCTTTTGAAATTTCTTTTTCCAGCAGCCATGGCAGTTCAACCCACTTAAACTGGGAAATCAAATCTAATTTGGAAACTGGAAAGCCTGCTCATAGAGAAAAGAGTAAAAAATGACTGTTTCTGCAGAGGGCGAAGCTGTTCCAACATTCACGCACAGCCTCTGGTTCTCTAGGGAAGAGAAGACGCTGTCAAATACAGACCTCAAGCCTGGAAAATGAGGAGGAACTGGGGAAGGTATGTCCTCGATGACAGCACATGATACTCAACATTTCCAGTTCAATGAAGCAGAAACTTTTTTTGGGGGGGGAGGGAAACATTGCAGAAAAGTACATTTTCAGAACCCGTTTTTAGGATTAGTCGGATCACCCCTGCGTGCCCAGCCAATACAGTTAATAGCACTTATCTTTCAATAATGGTGGATGAAAAGATGTACAGCTCATACGTTACATCATAAAGAGATATCTTTACCCAGAAACTCTAGGTTCCTAAAGTTCTCCAGTAGCACTTCCTTATAGAGCTCCTTCTGAAAAGGCTCCAGCCTCCTCCACTCTCCTCTGGAAAAGCTGACCACCACATCCTTGAATGTCACGGATTCCTAACAAACACATGAAATACAGTCTTTTTGCTTTGGATTAACATTCACGGGTTCTAGGGATTAGAAGTGGACACATTTTGGGCAGCCATTATCAGTCTACTACAGTGGTATTAATTACTACTGTGAATAAGAATTTTCTTTTTCAGGGCACCTGGGTGGCTCAGTCGTTGAGCGTCTGCCTTCGGCTCAGGTCATGATCCCAGGGTCCTGGGATGGAGCGCCGGACCCAGGTTCCCAGCTCAGTGAGGAGACTTCTTCCTCCCCTCTGCAGCTCCCCCCTCCTCATGCATGCGTGTGCGCACGTGCGCTCTTTCTCAAATAAATAAAATCTTTAAAAAATTTTTTCTAAGTGATTTGTAACTGGTTATAAATTATTCTAATTAACTTATAACTAGCCACTTTTCTCAATTATGAGTTTCAGTACTTGTTGATTCTCAGAGGTTTTCCAAATAGACCATGTTATCGGCAAATAACACACATTTGTCTCTTTCTTACCAATACTAAACTCCTTCCCTTCTTATCTTACTGCATTGGCTAGAATATTCAAAAACTACTCATCAACAGCAGCATGATTAGACATCCTTATCTTCTTACAGGCATCGTGAGAGCTGTTTTTTATTTTCCAATACCATTCAGCTGGAGATGTTTTTTTTATTGTATTAAGGAAATATAATTCTATTTCTACTTGACTAATTTTATCAAGAATAACTGTACAATTTCAGTAAACTTTTTTTTGTTGTTTTTCTTAGAGTCAGACTTGTGACAAATTCTGGTAACTGAAATAAAATAGCATCTGAAGAATGAGTTCAAAGAATGTGAAGGAAACTGTCTTCATTATTTTATTATCTTTATGCCACTCCATAGGAGCTCAGTAAGTATTCACTTAAGAATGAAAACCAGTGAAAGGAAGCTTACCTGGGACTCAGTACTTGGAAGGACAGAAACCACTTTATTTTCTTCAGGGTTCTCCTCTTGGGAAATAACAGACTCTTCAGAGACTGGATCTAGGAAGGGGGGGAAAGAACACTCTAGTCTTTCAAATGCATTCCTCAGACTAGAAAATCTTATACATGTTTCTCTGGAGAAAAAGGTCAGAAGAAACTAAGTTTTTCCCACTCTTTTTAAAACAGAGATAAAAGCCACATACACTTTCTTTTTAAAATCGAAGCTTTCCCCCCTACTCCATAAAATAGCCTTTCAATTCTTAAGCTCACAATAATTGATTTCATTCAATCCACACACCTACAGTTTTAATGTTTTATTTGCATAGTATTTTAAAAATATTCATAGGCTGTATTAAGGTAAAACGGCATATTTGTTCTATGTTATTAATTTGTTTTCTTCATAGTCCTAGCACAATGCCTTGCAGAGAGTCACTTTTTGAATGAAAGCACCCAGCTGGTCTCAGGAACACACTCCTCTTCTGGAGTCACAAGCAGATGCCTAAACCCGGAAAATCAGGAACCTGAACATATCAACTAAATATATTACAAACCCTCAGATGTCAACAGCTCTTCTTCTGGTAAGGGTTAAGTATTTTTTAAATCATGCTTTACTTTCTTATGAAAAGAATTTTAGGCAGCTTATTGATTAGACAATCAACAGGAATTAGAAGGGACTCTTTTGAGGAAACCGTTCTTACAGAATGCTACAGCGATCAATTCACAAGCTTCTTTATTGCGAGGGGCTTCCGCACAGAGGCCCTAATTTTGGAGAAGCACCGTGTTGCCCTGACAGACAAGTCAGACAGGAAACCCCGATGTTGAACATACCAATTAGCTGTGTGGCCACAATTTAACTCTGCAGAGGTAAATGCCATTTCCCTATCTGGGAACTCTTGGTTGAATACAAACTGTCCCACATATGTATTGAGAGCTGGCTCATCTGCTAGACGTATTTGGGACATCTGTAGCATATTAGAGAGTTTTTTTTTTTTTTTTAAAGATTTTATTTATTTATTTGAGACAGAGAGAATGAGAGAGAGAGAGCACATGAGAGGGGGGAGGGTCAGAGGGAGAAGCAGGCTCCCTGCCGAGCAGAGAGCCCGATGCGGGACTCGATCCAGGGACTCCAGGATCATGACCTGAGCCGAAAACAGTCGCTTAACCAACTGAGCCACCCAGGCGCCCATATTAGAGAGATTTTATAAAAGTTGGACCGCATGCCCTCAAAGGGCTATCCACGCTAAAAGTCTTTTTATCAATATTTTATGATGATATGTTATAATTCTGTTTATATTTTATACATTTGTGTATGTATAATAATGTAATCATAAAACTGTTAGTCAGCTGTCCTCCCCAATGCTGTGGAACTGCATCATCCAATAGCATAGTTGCTCACCACATACGGCTATTTAAATTTAAGATTCAATTCCTTATTTGCCCTCTTCACATTTCAGATGCTTAATGTGAAGTGCCAAACAGTGCAGAATGCATTCCTATCATCACAGATAAAAACTTTTTTCCTCACACACTGGAGGCAGAAGCTGAGGCCTGCCCTGGATGATATGCTTGTGACTCCAAACATATGCAGGTAATTTCCTTCTCTTCTGTGTTCTAAGATCCCCTTTTACTCAAGGCTGCAAGGAAAGAAATTAGTATTATACCTTATCGTGTTTAACCCTCATAAAAGACTAAGCAATTGCACTACTGGGTATTTACCCCAAAGATACAAAAGTAGGGATCCGAAGGGGTACGTGCACCCCGATGTTTATAGCAGCAATGTCCACAATAGCCAAACTGTGGAAAGAGCCAAGATGTCCATCGACAGATGAATGGATAAAGAAGATGTGGTATATATATACAATGGAATATTATGCAGCCATCAAAAGGAATGAGATCTTGCCATTTGCAACAACGTGGATGGAACTGGAGGGTATTATGTTGAAATAAGTCAAAAAGAGAAAGACATGTATCATATGATCTCACTGATATGAGGAATTCTTAATCGCAGGAAACAAACTGAGGGTTGCTGGAGTGGGGGGTGGGGTGGGAGGGATGGGGTGACTGGGTGATAGACACTGGGGAGGGTATGTGCTCTGGTAAGCGCTGTGAATTGTGCAAGACTGTTGAATCTCAGATCTGTACCTCTGAAACAAATAATGCAATATATGTTAAAAAAAAAAAAAAAGAAGAAGAAGGTAGCGGGAGGGGAAGAATGAAGCGGGGGAAATCGGAGGGGTAGACGAACCATGAGAGACGATGGACTCTGAAAAACAAACAGGGTTCTAGAGGGGAGGGGGGTGGGAGGATGGGTTAGCCTGGTGGTGGGTATTGAGGAGGGCACATTCTGCATGGAGCACTGGGTGTTATGCACAAACAATGAATCATGGAACACTTCATCTAAAACTAATGATGTAATGTATGGGGATTAACATAAAAAAAAAAAAAAAGACTAAGCAGATGGGAATCCCTTTCCATAGATTAAAAAAAAAAAAAAAGTTTCCGAGGGGTTACACAGCTTGCCCAAGATAACACAGTAAATGGTAGGGCTGATCCAAAGCCAGTCTCAACCCCAAACTTAAAGACTCCTTTTTAGCAATCAATTGCTTTCTTTGGAGGAGTTTACTTTCACACCTTGAGGAGATTGCTCCCTCATCCTCCTGCCATCTATAAATCTCACCTTCCTTTTCTTCAAGCATTTGGGTCAAATCCTCTATTAGGGTCACCACTTCCTCACTGCTCTCAGGATGTTGTGACTTTACCCAAAATCTGATCTCCCCAGGCAAAATGGTCAGGAATTGCTCAAATACCAAAAGCTCTAAAATCTGTTCTTTCGTGTGGATGTCTGGTCTCAGCCACTGAATGCAGAGATCCCAGAGTTGATTTAGGGCTTTTCTGGGTCCAGTCACTTCTGAGTAACAAAACCATCTGAATCTCTGTCTGAAAGTCTCTGGGTCAGTACTGTCTCCTCTCAGGATAGCTTCTTGATCCCCAGGAGTATCCATTCTCAGGACCTTGCTTGGTTCACTTGAGGCCAGAGTTTGAGGGTCTGGGGAGATGGCTGTCATCTTATTCAAGGCTACTACAGCTTGCAATGTGTATCAGCAGAGGAATCCAATTCCCTTTAGACTCTAGTTGAATTATCAGTACAGTCCACCAGCAGGCACTATTGGCAGCAAAATATCAAGGGTTCCAAACATTCAGCTAATGGTCTTGCAGAAACTGTCAAGAAATAGAAGATATTAAGTAAAACAAATTATTACTCCTAAAAACATTGTTCTTGGTTTGGTTCAGATATATGTAGACATACACAGAGGCCTAGAACTGCCCTGCCCAGCTGCTACATTAAAGGTCTAGGTGAGAAGTGGAGGAGATTTTAACGGTAATTAAAGATACCCTCCAAGAAAACAGTTTCTTCTGACTTAAATACTCCTCATAAGCAAAACACATGAGAAAAGGCTCATGGCTACAAGAAAATCCAGTCACAAATTTATTCATCAGCTCCCGAACTGCTGCAGTGACGGGCCATCCATTTCCCTCCAGGTGCTCAACCCACAAGCCTGATTTCCTATTTGCCTCTCAAATTTCTCACATAATCAATAACCAAGTTCTGGCATTTTTATTTCTTAAGAACCCCTCCATTCTATCCTTCTTAAACTACCCATGTACAGGTTTCTTCAATCCAGTCTCAGACTGCAGCCCCAGGGTTCCTTCTAATATGCAAACCCGGGTCCTATCACCCTCCCCCCATTTGTCCCAAGATAAAATTCAAATGCAGAGGCCATGCATGATGATCTAGAGACCCTGCCCTGAAGACCTCACCTCTTGAGCTCTAGCTGCCCGATGGATGCGGCCGCCAGAAAGAAGAAATGTCCCCATTCCCACACACCCTCCATCCCCTTCCATCCTTTGCATTGAGCAGTTCCCTCTCCTCGGAAGCCGCCTTCTTGCCCTCTCCTACCAAACTTCTACTCATCCCCTAAAACTTGACTCCTTTCAACTGTCACCTCTTGTATAAAGCTTTCTCTGATCCCCCAGTGCTCTCTTGCACAGAGCCTATCCTGTGTTACATGCGTTCTTTCATTCTGCAAATACTGACCACCAGGACACTACGGAGACACGCGTGGACAGATCGGGCAGGGGCCCCACCCTCAGACAACACCCAGGAAATGACAATACAGCCTGAGTGAGATGCGCTACAATGCGGCAGGTGAAAGCACACTCTACACTCTCCTCCTGTTGCAACTATTACACCAGTAATTACCCACCTCCGAGCACAGAGCCCGGCACACACGTAAGCATGACGTCACTTATTCCTTCGCCAAATATTAGGCGCCTACCGAGTACCTGCGCCGCGCTGAGCACCTGGGGCTGTGCGGTGACTAAGACACTCGTCTCGGTCTCCAGGGGGCCTACAAGAGAGGCTCCGCGAAAATATGACGCAGGCAGAAAGAAGTTCTCAAAGGGAGGGGGGCGCTGAAGACATTTTGGTTATCGCGGCTGGAGAGGAGGAGCGCTACTGAGACCTACCTGGCGGGTACAGCCAGGGATGCTGCTAAACATCCTGCAGTCACCGCAAAGCTCCCTTCCCCCACGCACACACATCAAGGAATTTTCCCGCCCAAACTGTCCGCATACCCAAGTTGCAGGACCATAGGCGCAGGGAAGGGATGGAGGAAAGCTCCGTCATTGAGGACAGTGCCCACCTCCCCCCGAAGCTGCGGCATCGGGAGTGCATGGTGAGGTCGCTCGGCTCCCCACCCACCCCCTACCCACCCCGCCCCGGGTGCATCCTTGGAGCCGGCGAGCTGGCCGCGGCCCCCAAATCAGGGGCCCGGGACAACCGCTACCTGCATCAGCACCCGCAGTCAGGACCAACGCCACCGCAATGAGCTTCTAGAAACTGGTCCTGCAGGAGCTGCGCGCGCAAGCCGGCGAGGGGCCACTGCGCCTGCGTAAAGGCGCAGAACTACGATTCCCGGAATGCGTTTGTCCCGCTTTGCTAAAGTCCTGTGTTTTCCATAGGCTCCCACCTGGCCTGTTGCGCATGGTCATTGGGAAACGGCTGGTGGGCTCGGCCACAGAATTATTGCTGCGCCAGAGGCCTAAAGGCCTACAACCATCTCAGGTTTTCAGATTTATGATGCTTGGTCTCCTTGGTAACCTCAAACCATCCCTCCTCCTTTCTTTGCCTATCCTTCCCTGAAATCCAGGCTGGGAAAACCCATTGCAGAAGCATGTTAGTGATGCATTCAATGCAAGCCATAATTAATGCCGCAAGTTGCATTTGAACAAGTACTAATTTTATTACTTTCACACCTGCCACCATGCTCCAAAACGCCATCATGCCTCCCCTGGATTATTGCAATAGCCTATTGAATGCACTTTTCTAATCTTGTCTATTCTTTACACTGCAGCCGGAGAGATGGTTAAAAACGTAAAACAGATTATGTCCCTCCTCTGCTTAAAACCCTGCAAGAGCTTCCCATTCCACTTGGAGTAAAACCCCAAATTTTAACAGTGGCTTACAAAGCTTGATAGAATCTGATCACCCATAACCTCCTTGACCTCTTCCTAGAATTCCCTGCTCCAGTCACAAAGGTCTCCTTGCTCTCCCTCCCCTTCCAACCTGTCTGGCATTTCTGGCTGCATGCTCTTCCACTAGGTAGCCCTATGGCTCACTCTTCCACCCTTTAATAGCTTCTCAATAAAGCTCTTCCACCACACTGCTTCAGTTGGAACTCCACCCCTCCCCACTCCTGTTTCCCCTTTTAACATACAATTTTCTTATTTATTTGTTTACTACGTATTGTCGGTCTTGTTTTCTTTTGTTTTTTGTGTGTCTTCTTCACTAGAATACCAATTCCACAAGAGTAAGGATTTTAATCTGGTTTGTTCCATGAGACACAATCTCCAGGCCTTGGAACAGTACCTGGTACATAGTAGGGCTCAGTAGATTTGTTGAATTTATGAATGGGCGCTTGCCTGGATTCCTGGGGGGCATAGCATATAGGGCTGAGGGACTCCAGAAGGATTGTTTGGAGGGTTCGAATAACGAGATGACTTTTGGACGGGTGGAGTTGGGAGAGAAAAACATTCTAGACTGAAAGACCAGGGTGAGTCAAGGCCCCGAGACTTTAGAAAGATAGAGCAAGCTCAAATAAATGAACCGCTGAGCTCATCTCACAGGCAAAAAGGCAAGCTGAAGAAACTCCCACAGTCAAGAAGAAGCCCAGTCCCAGGTCAGAGTACATACTCTTCTCCTCTACCCACCTCTCCTTGTCAGGCTGAAAATGGGACATCAAGGAGAAGCTGGAGGAAGCAGAGGAACATGAAATAAATTGGCTCTTAAGTTTAACTGGGCATGTCAGAGAAACTTTACTTGGTGGTTCTCAAACTGTATGTACGTTAGAATCACATGGTATTCTTCATTTGAATACAAATTTTGGGACCTTCCCCTCTACAATCCATTGTGGGTGATCCTTGGACTACACTTTGAGAAACACTACACTAGTTGAAATATTATGTAAGTAAGTGACATGTGCTACATATGAATAAGTTTCTAGGAAAAAAATTACTCCTTCTTGGAAGTGTGACCAAACTGTAACTTTTGATTAAATGCAAACATCATGGTAAAGAGTGGTGGACTGTGCATCAGTAAAGAAAGAGGAAAACCACAAATCAATTAGTTTCACTTGTAAGCAATCTAGTGGGATTTCTAGTCAGGATAAGCAAGCTAAGGAATGCTTAATCAAATAAGTGGTCTGTTTGTTTGTTTGCTTTTTAGCTGTTTTGGCTTCAGGAGAGAAAAGATTGGAGAGAGAAGACTGGAGGCAAAAAGACTAGTTTTTTAGGAGGTTGTGCAATAATCCAGGTGGGATGATGATGGTGGTGGTCTAAATGGTGATGAACTAAAAAAGACTTGGGACATAATAGTAGTAGGATTTGGTGATTTATTGCAAATACTGATGGGTGAGAACAAATAAATCATCAAATTCATGCACTATATGGCAGATTACATTTTGTAAAGATGGCTACACTGACCTATTTCCCACCTAGATATATAGTATTACAATGTGGTGTTGATGTCCTTCCATTGAAAGGAAATATCTGTTTCTTTCCCTTCAGTCTGGAGTGCTGAAATAGCTGACAAAAGAGTTGCCTTCCCATTGTCTGTTCCTTCACATTTATTCACTTTTATTAAACATCTGAGGATACAAATGAATTGAATATGGTATGAGAGTTTAATGCAATTGGACACTAATAGTCAAGACAAAAAATGAATCACAATGGATTACTTAGTGCTTATTGTCCCATAAAAGACAGCATAGAAGTTTCCGTGAGATTCAAACATTTTCCTCGTACCAAATTCTAGGAAAAGATAGTCCATGGGTACAGGAAATTGGAAAACATCACAGTCAATTTCTTCAAATGGATTTTATTTTTTAGAAATGAAAAAATGTTACTAATGAAGTAGAATAGCTCAGTGAGCCTGAATAAAATCTTAAGGCAAAGCCCTACCTCTGGAGGCTAGTGGAGCCAACCGAGCTAAAGGAAACAAGGCATTGGGGAAGTGAGAAGAAATTGAGCAATACCTTCAAAATGATGAGGAGTGGTTATTTCCAACCTAGAATTCTATCCCAGTCATCCTGGGTATTTCAGTTGGACATTAGAGACATTTTTATTTTTATTTATTTATTTTTTAAGATTATTTATTTATTTATTTGAGAGAGGGAATGAGACAGAGAGAGAGAGCATGAGAGGGGGGAGGGTCAGAGGGAGAAGCAGACTCCCCGCCGAGCAGGGAGCCCGATGTGGGACTCGATGTGGGACTCGATTCCGGGACTCCAGGATCATGACCCGAGCGGAAGGCAGTCGCTTAACCAACTGAGCCACCCAGGCGCCCCTAGAGACATTTTTAGACATACAAGTCCCCAGCATTCATCTCCTAGTCTCCCTTTCTCAGGAAGCTCCTAGATGAGAGATCAGCAAACTATGGTCTTTAGTCCAAATCAGCCCACTGTTTCTGTAAATAAAGTTTTAGTGGAACACGACCATGCTCCTTTGTTTCTGTAGTATTCATGATTGCTCTCATGTT